AACTTTTGCACGATATTCTAATTTTTCGAGTTTCACCTGTATACGTGACTCGCATTTCCGGGTAGAAGACAAGCACACTGCCTTACCTGTGCTGCTACTGGCGGCTAGAGATGTCAACCACCGAGTCCTGGCCGGCACTCGTTGGGTAAAGTTGACAGGGGAGAGACCTGTATATAAACAACACAGGTCTTTCTCCTGTCAGCATGGACATGCTGTTTTGTATCTGCGCAGCAGAGAGACACAAAAAGCATGTCTCCCTAGTAAAACACAACACAGTGCACACAGTAAAACACACACAGCACACAGTTAACCCTTTGATTGCCCCAGATGTTAACCGCTTCCTGCCCAGTGCAATTAGCACAGTGTCAGTGCTTTTTATTAGCACTGATCAGTGTATTAGTGTCACTGGGGATGTCAGTGTTAGTTCCCACCCAGTGTCAGAATGCCCGCCGCAGTCACGCAATAAGTTGCTGATCGCCGCTATTACTAGCATAAACAAACAAAAAAAAAAATTCCATATATATATATATACCACCATTTGTAGACGCTATAACTTTCACGTAAACCAATTAATTTACATGTATTGGGATTTTTTTTTTAGCAAAGACATATAGTAGAACACATTTTGCCTTAAATTTATAAAGAAATTTGACTTTTAAAATATTTTAAAAATATTTTTATTGGATATGTTTTATAGGAAAAAGTCAAAAATACTATTTTTTGTTTCAAAATTGTCGGTTTGTTTATAGTGCAAAAAATAAAAATGTAGAGGTGATCAAATACCACTGAAAGAAAGCTCTATTTGTGGGAAAAAAATGACATGAACTTCAGTTAAGTACAGAGTTGCATAACTGCACAATTGTCAGTTAAAGTAACGCAGCGCAGTATGGCAAAAAATGGTCTTTTCAGGAAGGAGGGTAAATCCTCTGGAGGGCAAATGGTTAAGTACTTTGGTCATTCTTTTTAATAAAATGAGAACACTATCTCTAGAACCAGCAGTGAGGGTCCAATCAGTGATTGGCTTGGCTGCCCGAAACCATAAAATATATTTTGGTAATCTAACCCCCCTCACCCCACACCTCATTCTGTATAGAGTAAGGTAGAGGTATAACGGGGGGGGGGGGGGGGGGGGAGTGCCCCGTCGTTGGCGTCAACGGGGGGGGGGGGGGGAAAGAGTGCCCCGTCGTTGGCGTCAACGGGGGGGGGGGGGGAAGAGTGCCCCCCGTCGTTGGCGTCAACGGGGGGGGGGGGGGGGGGGAAGAGTGCCCCGTCGTTGGCGGCAACGGGGGGGGGAAGAGTGCCCCGTCGTTGGCGGCAACGGGGGGGGGGGGGGAAAGAGTGCCCCGTCGTTGGCGGCAACGGGGGGGGGGGGGGGGGGGGGGGGGGGAGAGTGCCCCGTCGTTGGCGGCAACGGGGGGGGGGGGGGGGGAGTGCCCCGTCGTTGGCGGCAACGGGGGGAAGGGGGGGGAGAGTGCCCCGTCGTTGGCGTCAACGGGGGGGGGGGAGAGTGGGGGGAACGGGGGGGGGGGAGAGTGCCCCGTCGTTGGCGTCAACGGGGGGAAGGGGGGGGAGAGTGCCCCGTCGTTGGCGTCAACGGGGGGAAGGGGGGGGGAGAGTGCCCCGTCGTTGGCGTCAACGGGGGGGGGGGGGGAGAGTGCCCCGTCGTTGGCGTCAACGGGGGGGGGGGGGGGGGAGAGTGCCCCGTCGTTGGCGTCAACGGGGGAAGGGGGGGGAGAGGGGGGAACGGGGGGGGGGAGAGTGCCCCCCGTCGTTGGCGTCAACGGGGGGTCAACGGGGGGGGGGGAAGAGTGCCCCGTCGTTGGCGTCAACGTGGGGGGGGGGGGAGAGTGCCCCGTCGTTGGCGTCAACGGGGGGGGGGGGGGGAAGAGTGCCCCGTCGTTGGCGTCAACGTGGGGGGGGGGGGGGGGGGGGGGGGAAGAGTGCCCCGTCGTTGGCGTCAACGGGGGGGGGGGGGGGGGGGGGGGGAGAGTGCCCCGTCGTTGGCGTCAACGGGGGGGGGGGGGGGGGGTGGGGGGGGGGGGGAGAGTGCCCCGTCGTTGGCGTCAACGGGGGGGGGGGGGGGTCAAGAGTGCCCCGTCGTGGCGTCAACGGGGGGGGGGGGAGAGTGCCCCGTCGGTGGCGTCAACGGGGGGGGGGGGAGAGTGCCCCGTCGTTGGCGTCAACGGGGGGGGGGGGGGGGGGGGAGAGTGCCCCGTCGGTGGCGTGGCCCCGTCGGTGGCGTCAACGGGGGGGGGGGGGGGGGGGGGGAGAGTGCCCCGTCGGTTGGCGTCAACGGGGGGGGGGGGAAGAGAGTGCCCCGTCGTGGCGTCAACGGGGGGGGGGGGAGAGTGCCCCGGGGCGTCAACGGGGGGGGGAGAGTGCCCCCGTGGCGTCAACGGGGGGGGGGGGGGGAGAGTGCCCCGTCGTTGGCGTCAACGGGGGGGGGGGGGGGGTCGGGTGCCCCGGTGGCGTCAACGGGGGGGGGGGGGGGGGGGAGAGTGCCCCGTCGTTGGCGTCAGACGGGGGGGGGGGGGGGAGAGTGCCCCGTCGTGGCGTCAACGGGGGGGGGGGGGAGAGTGCCCCGTCGTTGGCGTCAACGGGGGGGGGGGGGGGGGAGAGTGCCCCGTCTTTGGCGTCAACGGGGGGGGGGGGGGAGAGTGCCCCGTCGGTGGCGTCAACGGGGGGGGGGGGGGGGAGAGTGCCCCCGTCGGGGGGGGAGAGTGCCCCGTCGTCAACGGGGGGGGGGGGGAGAGTGCCCCGTCGGTGGCGTCAACGGGGGGGGAGAGTGCCCCGGGGGGGGGGGGGGAGAGTTGCGTCCCGCCCCGTCGTTGGCGTCAACGGGGGGGGGGGGGGGAAGAGTGCCCCGTCGTTGGCGTCAACGGGGGGGGGGGGGGGAAGAGTGCCCCGTTGGCGTCAACGTCGTGGGTCAACGGGGGGGGGGGGGGGGGGGGTCAAGGTGGCGTCAACCGGGGGGGGAGAGTGCCCCGTCGTTGGCGTCAACGGGGGGGGGGGGAAGAGTGGGGGGGGAAGAGTGCCCCGTCGTTGGCGTCACGGGGGGGGGGGGGGGGGGAAGAGTGCCCCGTCGTTGGCGTCAACGGGGGGGGGGGGGGGAAGAGTGCCCCGTCGTTGGCGTCAACGGGGGGGGGGGGGGGAAGGGCCCCGTCGTTTGGCGTCAACGGGGGGGGGGGGGGAAGAGTGCCCCGTCGTTGGCGTCAACGGTGGGGGGGGGGGGAAGAGTGGTCGTTGGCGTCAACGGGGGGGGGGGGGGGGGAAGAGTGCCCCGTCGTTGGCGTCAACGGGGGGGGGGGGGGGAAGAGTGCCCCGTCGTTGGCGTCAACGGGGGGGTGCCCCGTCGTTGGCGGGGGGGGGGGAGTGCCCCGTCGTTGGCGTCAACGGGGGGGGGGTGGGGGGGGAAGAGTGCCCCGTCGTTGGCGTCAACGGGGGGGGGGGGGGGGAAGAGTGCCCCGTCGTTGGCGTCAACGGGGGGGGGGGGGGGGGGGGGGGTCAAGAGTGCCCCGTCGTTGGCGTCAACGGGGGGGGGGGGGGGAAGAGTGCCCCGTCGTTGGCGTCAACGGGGGGGGGGGGGGAGGGGGGGGGGGGAGAGTGCCCCGTCGTTGGCGTCAAGAGGGGGGAAGAGTGCCCCGTCGTTGGCGTCAACGGGGGGGGGGGGGGGCCCCGTCGTTGGCGTCAACGGGGGGGGGGGGGGAGTGCCCCGTCAACGGGGGGGGTTGGCGTCAACGGGGGGGGGGGGGGAAGAGGGGAAGAGTGGCCCCGTCGTCGTCAACGTCAACGGGGGGGGGGGGGAAGAGTGCCCCGTCGTTGGCGTCAACGGGGGTGGGGGGGGAAGAGTGCCCCGTCGTTGGCGTCAACTGTCAAAGGGTGGGGGGGGGAAGAGTGCCCCGTCGTTGGCGTCAACGGGGGGGGGGAAAGTGCCCCCGTCGTTGGCGTCAACGGGGGGGGGGGGAAGAGTGCCCCGTCGTTGGCGTCAACGGGGGGGGGGGGGGAAGAGTGCCCCGTCGTTGGCGTCAACGGGGGGGGGAAAAGGGGGGGGAAGAGTGCCCCGTCGTTGGCGTCAACGGGGGGGGGGGGGGGGGAAAAGTTGCCCCGGGGGTTGGCGTCAACGGGGGGGGGGGGGGAAGAGTGCCCCCGTCGTTGGCGTCAACGGGGGGGGGGGGGTCAAAGAGTGCCCCCCCGTCGTTGGCGTCAACGGGGGGGTGGGGGGGAAGAGTGCCCCGTCGTTGGCGTCAACGGGGGTGGGGGGGGGAAGAGTGCCCCGTCGTTGGCGTCAACGGGGGGGGGGGGGTGGAAGAGTGCCCCGTCGTTGGCGTCAACGGGGGGGGGGGGGGGAAGAGTGCCCGTCGTTGGCGTCAACGGGGGGGGGGGGAAAGAGTGCCCCGTCGTAGGCGTCAACGGGGGGGAAGAGTGCCCCGTCGTAGGCGTCAACGGGGGGAAGAGTGCCCCGTCGTAGGTGGGGGGAAGAGTGCCCCATCCTTAGTAGCAATCAGAAGAATAGCGCCCCATTGTTAGTTTCAATAGGAGGCATAGTGCTCCATCATTAGTGTCAATAGGAAGGGGTCGGATAAAAGCCAGCAAAGGGCCACATCTGGCCCCCGGCCAGTTTGGAGAGCACTGCTATAAAGTGAGGGAACCCTGAGGTGTCACCAGAACTAGTGTCCCTATTAGAAGACTTTCCCTCTATTCATGTTCTAATGACAACTCGAAATTTGGGATTGTAGTTTGCTTTCCGTGCTAAAGATCACCAGTCCAGGACAAATAGAGAGACTGAATCTCCCTAACAAGGACACAGACAGCAGTAATAACCTGACAGGGGTTCTAACCCCCCTACCCCTAAAATTGAAACAGAAAAAAGGTTGCCTTTAGTTTTGTTGTTGGATGGCTTGTTATGACAGTGCAGTCATAGAAGCTGTGGGCGCTGATTGGCAGAGATCGCCCTCACATGTAAACAAGGCCATGTGTCTCCTCCGGAGCCGGGCACTCACTTGTCGGGCCCCGTCATTGAACTCCTGCAGGTTGAAGTCCTGGTCCAGGAAGGTCCGGATGATGAAGAAGTGGATTCTGGTTCTTAACCAGATGAAGGGATTGGGAATGTTGATCACAAACATTTTTGTGGAGTCCGGGCCACGACTGCTGTACTCCCGCCTGACACATGGCTGCTGCGCCAGCGGGGGGAGGATGGGGAGCCGCACAGGCCGATATATCCACCTCTGTCCCCTCAGACCCAAGCAGGACACCCGGAGCGCCGTCCTCCACATCCTGTGCACTGACTAATCCGTCCCCGGGAAACACTGACGCGGCTCAAAGGGCCTGCTTGTTGGTACTCATTCAGTGAAATCGACTTATGAGCCTCAAAACCCCTCCGTGTTCCATTCCATACACTACACACGATGGCAATAACTCCCTGGAGGAAAACCGACTCCAATATTCTGTGTTACTAGAGGCCCTGTACGCATGAAGGGATGGTCTGCCAATCACAGCGCTTCTAGCTTAGATAACACAGGCTGTGAAGGGCAAAGGGCGTGGTTGTGAATGGCCGGGTGGGCGTGGTTGTGAGGAGGAAGTGTGGTCTAGGCGACATGCTGTAGAAGGTGCAGTATTTCTAGAAGCTGATATTCTGCGGGCTGGGTCAGTGGTGTCACCAATCAGAGAAGTACTTGTAAGCCGGCTGTCTACTACTTACAGCTGAACTCTGGGGATGGAAGACACTTACCTTCTCATTGGGTTCCCCTCCCACTGAACTGTTAGTTGTGTCTGGGGAATGATTGTTAAAGTGGTAGTAGAGTCTGTTGTTTAACTTGTACCTACAGGCAGAGCTGCTCTTAAAAACCACGGGGCCCCATATAGCCAACCTGACAGGGCCACCTGCTCTAAAAAATCCCAGTTTCCTATGCTTTATGCATAGAATTTCAATTATAAATGAGCACGGTGAGTAATTGGTACAGATCACTCATTTTGTTCATTCAGAAAAGAAAGGGTCTGGTAAATGTGACATATAGAATTCACTGGACCCTTCCCTCTCTCAGTCCTGAAGGATTCTATTGTGTGCTTGCAGCTGCTTGTGGGGAGAAGAGAAGGGAAGCTGGCACCACTGCGGGAGTGGGGCACATGGGGGGGTCTGAGCAGCTGAGAGAAACGTATGGTGTACAGGGAGGGAGATCGATGCGGTGGGGTGGCAATTACTGAAACTGATCCCCTGTATGGCTCTGTCTGCAGCAGCTGAAAGCCAGCGACAGGGAGAGAAGACAAAGCCAACTTTCAGCTGCTGCAGAGCGAGCCATACAAGGGATTAGTTCCAGTAATTGCCCCCCCACCCCCACTGTGCCGATCACCTTCCCTGTCCACACCTAATTCACCCAGCTAAGCCTATAATAAAGATTAGAGATAAACAAGGTGTGAAACCACCAAACTGTGCTAAATAGGCAAACAATTAAAATGATATCCTTACTAAATCCTGTCCGTGTATAAACACCACACTGCCACATTGAAATATATTAAACATGCAAAAAAAAAAAAAACACTTCAAAAAAGTATTCCAGTGGCACATAAATCAATTATCAGTGTAAACAATATTTCTAAAAAATACATATATAAATAATGTGAATAATAATGATGATAATAATAGTGATAATATTTGATGATACTTCAGTGTCAGTCTCTGTATGCCCATGCTGCAAGGCCATCTCTGAGCCACTGGGATCGGAGGTAACGGAAACCCCTGCATGATCAAGTTTCCCCGAGGTCTGATCTGCTCGGATATCATGCTCCAGTAGGTCCCGAATCAAATCTTCACGAGTTTTGCGACCGACGTCCATTCCTTGTGAGGTACAGTGGGCAAAAAAGTATTTAGTGAGCCACCAATTGTGCAAGTTCTCCCACTTAAAAAGATGAGAGAGGCCTGTAACTGGCATCATAGGTAGACCTCAACTATGAGAGACAAAATGAGAAAAAAAATCCAGACAATCACATTGGCTGATTTGGAAAGAATTTATTTGCAAATTATGGTGGAAAATAAGTATTTGGTCAATATCAAAAGTTCACCTCAATACTTTGTTATATATCCTTTGTTGGCAATGACAGAGGCCAAACGTTTCCTGTAAGTCTTCACAAGGTTGGCACACACTGTTGCTGGTATGTTGGCCCATTCCTCCATGCAGATCTCCTCTAGAGCAGTGATGTTTTGGGGCTGTCGCTGGGCAACACGGACTTTCAACTCCCTCCAAAGGTTTTCTGCTGGGTTGAGATCTGGAGACTGGCTAGGCCACTCCAGGACTTGAAATGCTTCTTACGAAGCCACTCCTTCAATCTTCAATGCCCTTGCTGATGGAAGGTGGTTTGCACTCAAAATATCATGATACATGGCCCCATTCATTCTCTGTCCTGGACATGGATCAGTCGTCCTGGTCCCTTTGCGGAGAGAGAAACAGCCCCAAAGCATGATATTGCCACCCCCATGCTTCACAGTAGGTATGGTGTTCTTTGGATGCAACTCAGCTTTCTCTCTCCTCCAAACACGACGAGTTGTGTTTCTACCAAACAGTTCTATTTTGGTTTCATCTGACCATGTGACATTCTCCCAATCCTCTTCTGGATCATCCAAATGCTCTCTAGCAAACTTCAGACGGGCCCGGACATGTATTGGCTTAAGCAGGGGGACACGTCTGGCACTGCAGGATCTGAGTCCCTGGCGGCGTAGTGTGTTACTGATGGTAGCCTTTGTTACGTTGGTCCCAGCTCTCTGCAGGTCATTCACTAGGTCCCCCCGTGTGGTCCTGGGATTTTTGCTCACCGTTCTTGTGATTATTTTGACCCCACGGGGTGAGATCTTGCGTGGAGCCCCAGATCGAGGGAGATTATCAGTGGTCTTGTATGTCTTCCATTTTCTAATTATTGCTCCCACAGTTGATTTGTTTACACCAAGCTGCTTGCCTATTGCAGATTCAGTCTTCCCAGCCTGGTGCAGGTCTACAATTTTGTTTCTGGTGTCCTTCGACAGCTCTTTGGTCTTCACCATAGTGGAGTTTGGCGTGTGACTGTTTGAGGTTGTGGACAGGTGTCTTTTATACTGATAACAAGTTCAAACAGGTGCCATTGATACAGGTAATGAGTGCAGGACAGAGGAGCCTCTTAAAGAAGAAGGTACAGGTCTGTGAGAGCCATAAATCTTGCTTGTTTGTATGTGACCAAATACTTATTTTCCACCATAATTTGCAAATAAATTCTTTCCAAATCAGCCAATATGATTGTCTGGATTTTTTTTCTCATTTTGTCTCTCATAGTTGAGGTCTATCTATGATGCCAATTACAGGCCTCTCTCATCTTTTTAAGTGGGAGAACTTGCACAATTGGTGGCTGACTAAATACTTTTTTGCCCCACTGTACACTCCGCCCTCAAATCACCTTTGCTCATTTTCTCGTATTCAGCTTCACCAGGCATAATTGCAAGCAAAGATAAAGTAGAAAACGGAAGGAGCTGTTGCTATATGTCTCTCTCTCTCTCTATATATAACAGATATGTGCCGCTTTGTCAGGGCTCCAGGGTATGACCAGTGGTATGTGAACTGACGCAGGGAAAAAGCAGGCTTCAGATATGTTATAAATAAGACAATTTATTAAAGACTAACAATACAAACATAAACGCAGTGCAATACTAAAACATAACACAGTGCAAACGAACCAAACCACCCACAGATAACAATACATACAATGCAAGCGTCGTCAGGCAGGCCGGGTCAATAACAATTGGGCAGGTAGGAACAGGAGGAGCAGGCAGAGAGTAGTCAGGTCACGAGCCGGGTACAGCAACTAACGGGCAGGTAGGTACAGGGGGTCAGGCAGAGAATGGTCGGGGTCACAAGCCAGGGATCAAACAGGAGAAGTCAGCAGAGGTCTGGATCAGGCAGGGTCAGCAACGAATCAGTCAGACAGGGACAGGGATGCAGGTAACAGATACAGGGGCCCATAGAAGAGCACACACCAAGGCCCAGACTGCAGATCTGGCCATCCCTTAAATACACCTGCATAATCAGCTTCAGGTGTTTGGCTAACTGCAGGGTTGAGTCTCTGATTGCTGAGAGCACCCGCTGGCCAGCCCTGGTACTGCAGCCCACAAGGCAGGTGAGTCCCACCATTACTGACAAGTCCATTCCTGACACGCTTGTTTCTAAGGACTGTTTCCACAAAGGTTACAATTCTTCAGTGTAGTGCTAATTTTTTACCACTGCACTGAAGCTGCTAATGCAACTATCCCACGTACGCTGCCAGCCAATATATGACGGGCGCGGCGTCAGACCCCTGACCTCACCAAACTTGTGACTGAAGGACTAGCCAATCTAACACCGCGATATCATGTGCGTAACAATACCACACCCAGCTGCACCCTGCACACGTTTTTCCAGCTAATTGGACCACAATCGACGCACCTGCAGCCTGGGAGCGTTTGTTACTGGGTCAGGTTAATTACGCAATTAACCCTTCACACTGCCACCACCTCCTTTTTGTACAGAAAAAGAGGAAACTCAGCAATACACTAGGATGATTGGTTAATCGTCGGTATACCGCTATCTCTGCAGACAGGTTATACAGAGGGTTAAACACTCATAGTAGCGCTCTTCAGCGGCAGGGATTCGTAAGTTACATTAAAGAGCTATAGAAACAGTTCAACACTTTCAGAAAGTAAGATTTATTACTAAAAGGTCAAAAGGGTGCAATAAAAATATTTACAGGAAAAAGATGTAACCAATATATATAAATATACAGAGCACAACAGCACAGCAAACAGATAGCAGAAGTTTAGGGAGATAAGTACTTGCCAAATAGATGCCTGGGGTTAAGCAGTTTCAAGTCTGATGAACTCAACAAGGATTTTCTTTGTCTCGACTGTAAGTTTCATTGTTTTCATGGCAGGAGACTCTGCAGTGATGTTAAACGCAGGGCAGATCTCTCGTTCTCTCTCTACACACACAGCATAACAGCTTATTTCTACAAAAATCAATTGGTATCTTCTTACAACAGACAAGCCAATTACCTTATTTGGGCAGAGGATTGTTAGGTAGGGGCTCAGCATCATACACTGATTGCAGTCCTGAGGGAGGGGGTAAATGGGGAATAACATGAAGGATTCTTAACAGAATAAGGATCGTGTCTGGCTCCGGTGTGCATGATTGTTACACCTCCCCCCTCAGGAGTTTAAGAGAAATACGAAAATGCAGACGTTTGGAGCAAAATGGAGAACCGCGCCTCTCCCTGTGTGCATGATTGTTACACCCCTGTCCAACTTTAATTTCTGTCCATTTCCCTGTTGCAAATTTTCTTTCCCTTCATGTCTAGTCTTTTGACACTGGGAAAGTTAGAGAATCTTTCTAATAGGGATGCAGATTGTAGCAAAAGCCAGTTATGGGTTTTAATCTTTTTTCCACGCTACAACTAAAGCCTTTGGCTTGACATACACTTTACTTATCAATCACTGCTGAATAAACTACTGAATTTACTTTGTCTTCTGTTTTTCAGACAGCCATTATGGAGTTGAAACCAACAAAAATCCCTTTGCCAAGGTATACAGGCATGGATAAAACTAGATTTCTGCAGGAAATTTACCCCTTGGTAAGTTTAAAGAAAATCTGATCCAGATCCTGATGTTTTGGCTGGATTGGTGCACAATCCTATGTCTGTGATGGTAGGCCACAAGAAGGCTTTGATTAGACAGGTTAGAAAACCCTACAGAAGATGCCTGACACACTTTTAACAACTTTAGGAGCACTCTATAGCAGATATAGTACTTCTTCAGGGTGGCCCTCCTGTGCAAAATCACTGATCTAAATGTGTTCCTGCACTTCCGCCTAGGGGGCATGCCGCTTCCGTTGTGAGTGTTCACAGTAGAAACCGATCTGCAGGTGCCGGACAGTGGACTGCTCGTCAAGGAGAGACAAAGAGCGGAGCTCTGCCTATGTACACAAGGCAGAGCTCCGTTCTGACAGGGAGGAAGTGGTGCATATTGTGTCCCTGCAAAGCAGGGAATAAAATCCATCATTTCCCTTAGTAAAAGCAGCACACAGTTTACTCAAAAGTACTAGCTAGGCACACAAAGTTAACTCTTTGATCGCCCTAGATGTTTAACCCCTTCCTAAACAACATCATTAGTACAGTGTGAGTGCATATTTTTAGCACTGATCACTGTATTAGTGTCACTGGTTCCCACAAAGTGTCAGTTGATGTCTGATTGTCCGCCGCAATATCGCAGTCCTGCTATAAGTCGTTGATCGCCATTACTAGTATAAAAAAATTGAACAAATACAAATTTCAGTATATATACTGCCATTTGTAGATGCTATATCTTTTGTGCAAACCAATCAATACACGCTTATTGGGATTTTTTTTTTAATATGTACCATATCAGGATACCATGGCACGATCGCGCAAACAAAACCACACGACACCTAAAAAAGGTTCCAGAACCATTTTCGGGAGTTGCACAGCCCTCAATTTTGTTTGTACGATCGCATTGCAATCGCCCAAAAAACGCCACGTGCTTTCAGGTGCCATTGAAAAGAACGGCACCTCCAAATGCAATTGGGTGTTTTCACATTGTCACACCGCATTTTCAAATTGCAGGCAGAAACGTGGCGATTCCGCTTGCAATTTGAAATGCCCTAATGTGAATGGAGCCTTAAAGCTATTTTACTGCTTGTTATTAATCAAAGCAAAATACCACCAACAGTACTGACCGTTTCTTGATACCTGACTGCAGAGAGGAAGGAGGACCTGGCTTTGTTCCAGTCTGTTACCTCCCCCCCTAAGGTGAATCCCTGTTACTCTACATCTACCTTCACGAGTGGTTCCCCCTGCTGGATGGAGAGTGTGTTCCTGGAACCTGGTGATGTATGCGGTGTGGTACCTGTCTTGCTGATGTTTGCCAGATAACCCCCCGTGTTCCATTTCCTGAGTCCAGATGACCAGGAGTAGGTTTTGATTTACTCAAATGCGCATTAGATTGCGCTTTCTGGTTAGTGCAATCTACACTTATTTTCAGCCACTGGAGTCACGGAGTTTCACCTTTATATTGATATTGAACTTGGAATTATTTGATTGTACATCACTTTATGCACTTTACTACATCACACCTGGACGTTATTCACATTACTGTGTTTAGCGCTCTGAAGCGCTTTTATCACTATTTTATTGCTTAGAATATTATGAAACTCTCTTTTAATGCTTGTGATATAATTAAGCAGCTGATTTATTTACTTATCATCATCTTATATAGCGCTGCATATTCTATGTTATGATTTTAGGGGAAGCTTTTAGAGGTTTTACCTTTTATGCCAGCTGCTCTACTTATTTTACCCAGCGCTCGTTTGATATTATTTATTACTATGGAAATGGTTGATGGTAGGTGACATTTATGTGTTTGGTCAATGCTGTGATATAAGGATGGCCTAAATAGCCCAAAATCATTTGTATTTATGTCCAGCTTTAGACTTAACTGACATTGTTGGTGTTTGCTTTCTAGAGGAAGCCAGCTGTGTTACAAGACTTGGATCTGGGAGTGTGCAAATCACAATGGACCTTGGATTATATGAGCAGGAAGGGAGGAGGACGTGAAGTAAAGATCCATGTGTCTGAGCTACCACAGCTGGACTTTATTAAGAAGAATTTTTTATATAGGTGAGGAATGTGATATCTTTTTGTGTTCCTGGTATACTTGGAATTTGCAAAAGTGTGTGACACAGTTCCCCACACATGGCTAATGTGTAAGGTAAAGTCTACAGGCTTGTAAAAATCTGTATGTAAATGGATAGAAAACTGGATAAAAGATTGTATTCAAAGAGTAGTGGTTAATGATTCATACTCTGCATGGTCTAGGGCTGTCAGTGGTGTACCCCAAGGTTCAGTGTTGGGACCCTTACTTTTTAATATATTTATAAACAATATAGGGTCTGGGATTAAAAATACCATTTCAGTCTTTGCAGATGACACCAAGCTGTGCAGTGGAATAACGTCCTTACAGGATGTCTTCAACTTACAAAATGACCTCAATGCACTGTTTAATTGGGAAACTATGTGGCAAATGAGTTTTTAATATGATAAATGTAAGGTTATGCACTTGGGGGGCTAAGAATATGCATGCATCATACATACTAGGGGGAGTACAACTGGGGGAATCAGTGGTGGAGAAGGATCTGGGAGTTCTGGTAGATAACAAGCTTAATAATGGCATGCAATGCCAAGCTGTGGTTTGTAAAGCGAGCAAAATCCTCTCTTGTATTAAAAAAGGTATAGACTCCAGAGAGAGAGATATCATATTACCCCGGTACAAATCATTAGTAAGACCTCATCTGAAATATGCAGTTCAGTTTTGGGCACGAATTCACAAAAAGAACATTGGGGAACTGGAGAAAGTACAGAGAAGGGCAACCAAACTGATAAGAGGCATGGAAGAGATCAGCTATGAGGAAATATTAGAGGGGCTGAATTTATCCTCTATTGAAAAGAGGATATTAAGGGGGGATATGATCAACATGTATAAATACATCAGTGGTTCATATGGTGTAGAGTTATTCACCCTGAGGTCATCACAGAGGATAAAGGGGCACTCTTTACGTCAGAGAAAAAGAAATGTAATCCCCAAATACGGAAAGGTTTCTTCACAGTAAGAGCTGTGAAAATGTAGAATAGACTCCCTCAAGAGTTGGTTCTGGCCAGCTCAATGGATTGCTTTAAAAAAGGTCTGGATTCTTTCTTAGATACACAGAATATAACTGGATACTAACATTTATAGGTACAGTTGATCCAGGGAATATCCGACTGCCTCTCTGGGGATCAGGAAGGATTTTTTCCCCTGCAGGAGCAAATTTGTTCATGCCTTGCTGGGCTTTTTGCCTTCCTTTGGATGAACTGTGGGTATAGGAGTATAACTATTTTTTTTTGGTTGAACTGGATGGACTTTTGTCTTTTTTCAGCCAGACTAACTATGTAGCCATAAAATTTTACAATCTTTTCAAAATGCAAAAAAATACAAGCAATGTGTTGAGTTATAGTTGTTTTTAATTTGTTTCCTAATATTTTCATTTCAGATCACTTCCATTTGATGTTTTTGTACGTAGAGCAGCTGAGGACAAACACACAGACTTCTTTATCTCTGAGGTAGTTATAACCTTCAGTGGTGGACTTCAAAGGTCTACTTGTAAGGAAAGTCCTCTACAAAGCTACTTCTGCTGATTACAAGAAAGATCACACACTTCCTCAAACTAGTGCCCAGTGCAGTCATTGGCACATTAATGATCTCAGTCTCTTTCACCTTCTTATCCTTTAAAATATTCTGTGTCTAGCAAAATGTAAAAAAAAAAAAAAAAAAAAAAAAAAATATATATATATATATATATATATATATATATATATATATATATATATATACATACATACATATACACAGTGCTTAGCATAAATGAGTACACCCCAACAGATTTGTCAGAAAACCTTTCCTTTCAGAATCAGCATTTTCTATGGGACACTATATTTATTTATTGTATTTATTTGTTTCAAGTACTTATATATCGCCGTCAGTTTATGCAGCACTTATATATTGTACATTCACATCAGTCCATAATCCTCAAGGGGCGTACAATCTAAGGTACCTAATTTACATTCATACATACACATACTAGGGCCAATTTAGACAGTATACATTTACCTACTAGCATGTGTTTGGAGTGTGGGAGGAAACTAGAGTACCTGGAGGAAACCCATGCAGGCACAGGGAGAACATGCAAACTCCAGGCTGGTGGTGCCATGGTTGGGATTTGAAACAATGACCCTAATACTGCCAGGTGAAAGTGCTAACCATTTAGCCACTGTGCTGCACTATACTACAAAATATTCCCACAAATGCAGGCAATTGATTGTAAACAAGATTCGTTAATTTGCAAACACAAAAACTATTTTTCCTAACATCCATTCAAACCATGTTGCGAAAATGAATACACCCCAATTAAAGTCTTTGGAAACAAAGCTAAATTTTAGACAACAAAATCCTAATTAACAAGAATTTAACTACAGGAGAGTCTAATTATTCATTAAGCAGGTGTCTAGCAGACAGGTGATTATAAAATGGTGTTCCTTATCAAAGAAAACCCCTTCTCATTTTATGCCATCAACAATGACACCACATGGAAGAGAAATGTCACAAGGCCTGAGAAAGAAAATTAATTTCTTTACACAAGAAAGGTGAAGGCAAGAAGATCAGCAAAGCTTTACTTATCAGTCAGAAGAGTGTAGCAAAAGTGATACAAACATTTAACAAAGATGCAACTGCAACCATTCCACAGGGACATCCAGGCTGTCCAAGGAAGTTAACACCTCGACAGGACCGTCTTCTGATGAGAAGCTATGAAGAAAATCACTATGCAAGTTCACTGCAGTTAGTTAAAGAAGTAGAAAGCCAAACTGGGGTGATTGTTTCCCATGACAAAATATGGCGTACATTGCAGAGGAATGGCATGCATGGGTGTCATCCATGAAAGAAGCCTCTCCTAAAGCCCATAATCAAAAAAGCCTGCCTAGAATTTGCCAGGACCCATGCTGAAAAAGACTAGTGGGACTCTGTACTCTGGAGTGATGAGACCAAGATAAATGTTTTTGGAACTGTTGGCTTTAAAACTGTATGGCGTTGCAAAGATGAGGAGTACAAATTAAAATGTATGGTGCCTACAGTGAAACATGGTGGTGGCAGTGTCCTTCTGTAAGGGTGCATGAGTGCTGCTGGTGTCAGGGAGCTGCATTTCTTTGATGGTATCATGAATTTACAGATATACTGCTCTATATTGAAAGTGAAGATGCTACCATCACTCTGTGCCCTTGGTCTAAGGCCACTGTTGCATTTCTGAAGAAGAACAGTATGAAAGTGATTCAGTGGCCAAGTATGTCTCCTGATCTGAACCCATTTGAAGACCTATGGAATATGGAATTCTGAAGAGACAAGTTGAGTATCACTCTCCATCCAGCATCCAGGCTCTAAAAGAGGTTTTTCTTGAAGAATGGAAAAAGATTGATGTTGTAATATGTCGCCAATGTGTTCATTCCATACCTGGTGCTGTCCTTATAAATCACAGAGGTCATACAAAATACTAGGTGTAGTAGTATTTGTTGTGGGATGTATTCATGTTTGCATCAATTAATTTGAGTAAAACTGAAGATTATGTAATCCAAGTTATATTATTAACCTTACTTTCATGTAATGAGCTAAACAAATGTTCTATAAAACTCAGTTTTGTCAAAATTTTGGAAATTGTTCTTGTGTTCATTGAGCTATTGATTAAAATCTTACTTTTCAAAAGGGGTGTATTAATGTATGCTATAATCATACCGATCAACCATAACTTATGAATGACCATCCACCTTATATTAAGTAGGTCCCTTATTTGCCGCCAGTATAGCCTTGGCCCGTTATGGCATGGGCTCCACTTGACCTTTGAAGGTATGCTGTGGTATCTGGCACCAAGCCATTAGTAGCGGATCCTTTAAGTCCTGTAAGTTGCGAGGGTTGCTTTTGTTTTGACTTGTTTTCCAGCACATCCCACAGATGCTCGATTTGAATGAGATCTGGAGAATCTGGAGTCCAAGTCAATCTCAAACTCATTGTTGTGTTCTTCAAACCATGCTTGCATTATTTTGCAGAGTGACTGGGTGCATTGTTCTGGTTAAAGAGGCCACTGCCATCAGGGAATACCATTTAAATGAAGGGGCATATTTGGTCAGCTTCAATGTTTAGGTAGGTGGTATGTGTCAAGTAACATCCACATGAATGACAAGACTCAAGATTTTCCAGAAGAACATTGTCCAGTGCATCACACTGCCTCCGCCAGCTTGCCAATTTCCTATAGTGCATCCTCGTGCCATCTCTTCCCTAGGTAAGCAACATACATGCACCTGGCTATCCGCATGATGTAAAAGAAAACATGATTCACCAGACCAGGCCACCTTCTTCCAATGCTTTGTGGTCCAGTTCTGATGCATACACTACAAACTGTAATGCCCATTTTTACTGCTTTCAACTCAACTTCATAGACAACATGTTTAATTGCTGCCTACTATATTCCACTGACTTTCCGATGCCATTGTAACAAGATAATCAATGTCATTCACTTAACATGTCAGTAGTCATAAAGTTATGGCTGATTGCTGTATACAGTCATGACCAAAAATATTGGCACCCCTGCATTTCTGTCAGATAATGCACCACTTTACCCAGAAAATTGTTGCAATTACAAATGTTTAGGCATTCTCATGTTTATTTCTTTTGTATTGGTATGACACAAAAAAGTGTAGAAGCAAAAATCTAATCTGACACATTCCAAGCAAAACCTCAAAAATGGACTGGCCAAAATTATTGCCACCCTCAATTTGATATTTGGTAGCACACCCCTTGGAAAATATAACTGAAATCAATCGCTTCCTGTAACCATCAATGAGTTTCTTACACCTCTCTATTGGAATTTTGGACCACTCTTCTTTCACCAACTGCTCCAGGTCTCTCAGATTGGAAGGGTTCTTTTTCTCCTTTTCCCAACTGCTGTTTTGAGATCTCACAGGTGCTCCATGGGATTGAGATCTGGACTCATTGCTTGCCAGTTCAGTACTCTCCAGTGCTTTGTCTTATACCATTTCTGGGTGCTTTCTGATGTGTGCTTTGGGTCATTGCCCTGCTGTAAGACCCATGAACTCTGACGGAGACTCAACGTTCTGACACTGGGCTCTGCATTGCACCCCGGAATTCTTTGGTAGTCTGCAGATTTCATAAAGCCATGCACAAGGTCAAGACATCCAGTGCCTGAAGCAGCAAAGCAACCCCAAAATATCAGTAAACCTCCACTATGTTTGACTGTAGAGACTTTATTCTTTTCTTTAAAGGCCTCTTTTTTTTTTCTCAAAATAGTAAAATGATGTGCTTTACCAAAAAGCTGTAATTTAGTTTTATCTGTCCACAGCACATTCTCCCAAAAGGATTTTGGCTTCATCAGGTACGTTTTGGTAAACTCCAATTTGGCTTTTTATGTTTCTGTGTCAGCAGTGGGGTCCTCCAGGGTCTCCTACCATAGCGTCTTTTTTCATTCAGATTGCAACATATAATACAAACTGACACAGTTGTACCCTGTGTCTGAAGGTCACCTTGAATCTGTCTGGAAGTTGTTTGAGGTTCTTTATCCACCATTCGAACAATCATTCGTTGCACTCTTTAAACAATTTTTCTCTTTTGTCCAGGTCCATGGAGATTAGCTATAGTGTCATGGGTTGTAAACATCTTGATAATGTTGCACACAGTAAACACAGAAACATTAAAATCTCTGAAGATGGACTTTTAACCTTGAGATTATCCATGCTTTTCCACAATTTTTGTTCTGAAATCCTCAGAAAATTATTTGCTGTTCTTTCTCTTCTCCATGCTTCATGTGGCACATAGAGACACACAACAGAAAGGTTTAATCAATTTGTTTCCATTGTAACTGGTTGCCGGTGTGATTTCTATACATTAACTGATATAGGTGAGTTTAATTACAAATTACAGGAGCATCAGAAACTTGGAATACAGTTATTTATTTTGAGAAGGTGCTAATAATATTGTCCAGTCCATTTTATGGGTTTTGCGTGGATTATGTCAGATTTGGCTGTTTGTTTCTACATTTTTTTGTGCCATACCAATACAAAACAAAAAAAAAAACATAATAATGCCTAAATATTTGTTATTGCAACAATTTTCTGGGCAAAGTGGTGCATTATCTGACAGAAATGTAGGGGTGCCAATATTTCTGGCCATGACCGTATATACCTCAAATCACTGAAATACATATTCCCCCATGCTGTCTTTTTAATAATGCTGCAAATGCAGAAAAATAGCTGTTATTCCTGTCAAAAATTGATACTGCACTGCAATCCTCAAGTAGTGATATCAATCCTGCCTGAATTCTCCCCTGTGGGACTACTGAACACCCCCCACTTAAGTTAAGGAGACGACAAGAGGGGACGTGTTCTGTAGTTTAGCCAGGGCGTTATAACAATTTGTATATGTATTTGGCCAGTTATTAGTGGCAGTTTATGACAACAGTCCAAACTGCAAATAATATTGGGGGTTTGGACAAATTGTGGAATGTTGCGCCCCAGTCATGAAATTTCTTTGCAGGCAATTTTGTAAATCTACTTAGGTCACACATTTCTTTTTCTGTTTTACTATACTGTTCTTTATTTTGCAGTTCTGTTTTACAAAGGAATTGCTTGGTTGGGGAATATATAATATTAGGAAGTCCAGCTCTGTTGTCTACATGTGCCATCCTGGTTTGCAGTCTGAATTATACATGATATTTTAGATTGTCAATGTCCTCTGGTTAGTCTATAGAAAAACAGGTCTGCATTACTAAGGTTCCTTTCTGTTTTTTGAAAAGTTGTTTTTTTTTTTTTAACTAGGATGAGAAATACTATCTCCGATCGTTAGGTGAAGACCCTCGTAAGGTAAAAAGTAAGCATGAAATGGAAAGGGAATGATATGGACTGTAACAGAAGCAGGGTAGTTTTTTGTGTTTTAGTTGTGAAAAAATAATAAATTAATCAAAAATAATAAAAACCATTTACACACGTACATAGTGCATTTATGCTATAATGTAGTAGAAATAACCTAGCGTAAGGGTGATCAGACTAGCAGATACCTTCCTGAATTAAAAAAAAAATCTATGTGTTTTTGGCCACAGAAAATGGGCATGAATGTGTCAAGGTAAACAGATATATACCGTATTTTCCGGCGTATAAGACGACTGGGCGTATAAGACGACCCCCTACTTTTCCTGTTAAAATGTAGTGTTTGGGCTATACTCGCCGTATAAGACTACCCCTCTTCCAACGCACACCAGTGGGAAGAATTGTGCCCCATCATTGGTGTCAGTGGGAGGAATAGTGTCCCATCATTGGTATTAGTGGGAGGAATAGTGCCCCATCATTGGTGTCAGAGCGACGAATCGTGCCCCATCATTGGTGTCAGTGGGAGGAATAGCGCCCCATCATTGGTGTCAGTGGGAGGAATCGTGTCCCATCATTGGTGTCAGTGGGAGGAATCGTGCCCCATCATTGGTGTCAGTGGGAGGAATCGTGTGCCATCATTGGTGTTAGTGGGAGGAATCGTGTCCCATCATTGGTGTCAGTGGGAGGAATCGTGCCCCATCATTGGTGTCAGTGGGAGGAATAGCGCCCCATCATTGGTGTCAGTGGGAGGAATAGCGCCCCATCATTGGTGTCAGTGGGAGGAATAGCACCCCATCATTGGTGTCAGTGGGAGGAATAGCACCCCATCATTGGTGTCAGTGGGAGGAATAGCGCCCCATCATTGGTATCAGTGGCAGGAATAGTGCCCCATCTTTGGTGTCAGTGGGAAGAATCCTGCCCCATCATTGGTGTCAGTGGGAGGAATAGTGTCCCAACATTGGTGTCAGTGGGAGGAATAGTGTCCCAACATTGGTGTCAGTGGGAGTAATAGTATCCCATCATTGGTGTCAGTGGGGGGTGGAATAGTGCCCCATCATTGGTGTCAGTGGGGGGGGGGGGGAGGAATAGTGCCCCATCGTTGGTGTCAGTGGGAGGAATAATGCCCCATCATTGGTATCAGTGACATCAATGATGGGGCACTATTCTTCCCACTGACACCAATGACACTTGCTGACCCCTTGCAGTATGGTGCTGCTGCAGCCAGCATATGTGGTTGCAGCAGCACCTCTGTACGGCACACTTACCGGCCCGCTCCTTCATTCGATTTTCGCGGGGCCACCTCCTCGCCGGTGATTGGCCACCTGTGTGCCTTTCCTGAGCTACAGTTCTGGCGGCCAATCACCGGCGAGGAGGCGGAGCCGAGCAGCCGCGCGAACATCCAGTGGCCGAACTGAATGAAGGAGCAGCTGCGCTTCCTGGACCGGATCGTTGTGGGACTGGAGCCAGGTAAGAGACAGCAGCCCCTGCCCACCCCTGTATTCAGTGTCCCTTCCGTTTCAAGGGGGGGGCGGCGGCGGCACCGCCCCCTAAAAAGTGTCAGCATGCCGTATACCGGCGTATAAGACGACCCCCCCCCCGACTTTTTGAGAAGATTTTCAAGGGTAAAAAGTCGTCTTATACGCCGGAAAATACGGTAATCATAGGGAGGATTTCTAGGTAGAGGACAGCACAATGCATTTTGTTTAGTCTGATATAAGGTGCACAAACTTTAAAGTAAACCCGTAAAATCACCATACTCTGTAAGCTGGCCTATGTTCAGAGAACAAGCATCTCTGGTGTCTGCTGAATGCAGGCTTTACTTTTAGAACACATAAATATCCACAAGACCCTAGTTTTTTGTCATGCAAATATCATCCACAACTTTTTATAGACAACATTTTTCATTTTCTGCTGCCTGTCGTGCATTCCTATTGGTCAATGAGACTGTGTTTTACATTTTGTAGGTACAGGGCAGAAGGAGGGAGTTCAAATATCGACTACAGAGGTTGTGTTTGAGAATTGAATAATAGAGCACCTGACTTGTGGGAATAGCCACATCATGGCAGGAAACATTTACATACAGATTATGAGCCTGTTTAGCACTCTGGGTTTATAATGTTTCTATTTACTGTAAGTACAACTAAAGCTGTACTATATTATCACTTTCCATAGGATATTGCAGACATCAACAAACAGTTTCCAGAGCTGGCAGCAGACATCAAGATTCCTGAATTTTTTGAAAAGGACCAGTTCTTCTCCAGTGTCTTCCGTATCAGCTCTCCGGGCTGCAGCTCTGGACACACTATGATGTATGTCTTTCTATAGAAATAAATATGTTACGCCATAAGGCCTCATTTACACTTGCACACAGTGCTGAACAGCAGATTCCTTTGGCAAGAAAACAATGGCAGATAGGAGCTGTCCATTGCTGTTAGCATGCATCTGCACATCTAGCAGTTAGGGACAGATGATCTGCCTGACGCAGTCTTAACACCTTCCAGGCTGGGACAATTCTGATATTTTCCTACTACATGTAAAAAACATTTTTTTTTGCTAGAAAATAGCTAATATAAATGATTATTGTACACCATTTAAATAGATACCAAACATGTCAAGCTTTAAAATTGTGCAGGCACCAAACTGTGGTACCTAAAAATCTCCATAGACGATGCTTTATAATCCTTTACAGGTCACCAGTTTAGAGTTACCCAGGAGGTAGAATTATTGCTCTTGCTCTGACGTTCACAGCAATACCTCTCATATTTGGTGCGATCACTGTTTACATATGCATGCGGATCCAATGTACCAGTTCACATTTGTGATTGAGCATGGGGGGACAGGAGCGCTTTACTTTTTTTTTTAATTTATTATTTATTATGTTTACATTTTTTACACTGTCTCTTTTTTTATTTTATGACTGTTTTTGTTTTCCCAAGGGATGAACCGCATCCCTTGTGATAGCACAGGTCCTCTTTATGGAGTCATCTAGAGTCTATTAGACCCTAGATGTCTCCTCTGGCCTCCAGAGCATCAGTGCAAACTGAGATTGGTTTGATCTGATACTTTCACTAGCTAGTAACTTGTAAACAGCAAAAAGAAATTCCTTGAAAATCCTTGTCACTTCCAGTTTCTAACATCACACAGTGGGAGGAACAACATCAGTTTCTCTTACTATGTCCCAGGAACCGGATACCGCTGGTCACATCTTTAGCAGGCTCCCCGATCACTTGGGAGAGGCTGATATAGGAGGCGGTGGGTGCGGGGATGGGGGGACAGAGTGTACAACTGCTAGGATCACTCTTACAGTGAAGTGCTGGCTGGCTGAAAAAAAAAATTATATCTTGTTCAGTGCTATAGCTGCAGTAATGACCAAGATATCACCCTTCCTATCTAGTGACGTACCAGTATGTATAAAGGAAAGTATTATTATTATCTTCCGGTCATCTTATTTCTGTTCTTGCAGTAACAGAAGACTCTTCTGTTTTAGGTGATGGATAATCTACTTATTCAAGTAACAGGAACAAAAAGAGTTGTCCTGTACAGCCCTCGAGATGCACCATTTTTATATTTATCAGGTGAGGATGATATTTCAAATCAATGTGATGTTTTAGTATTGCTAGATATGTTCTTTATCATCTGTTGGGTGGAGTAAGGGCCAGTGGGTCTAAAAAAATGCAATATGCATCTTTTGTAAACACATATTGCGATTTTTGTGCTTTTTAAATGTGTTGTGTTAAAATTTAACAGAATGTGTTTTGCATGCATTTTCATCCCTAGTCTCCTGAGAAAAAATTGACATGTGACTCAAAAAACGAACTTTAAAAAAAAGAGTGGTGCATTTTGGTTGTGCTTCAAATGGCTATGTTGGAAGATGCAATTTGGGTGCATTTTTTTCAAACAGGGCACTGAAGATGCAGCAAACAGCGAACTGTAAAAAAATTAAAGGAACGCACAGATGTGAACAGTTAGGATTTAAAGGGGGCTATTTTTGATGTGCTTTTGACGTGCTGGGAAAGTGCTTTTACTCAAAAGTGCACAGGTGTGAGCAGGGCTTTATAAGAACATCAGAAAAGTGTCTTTGTAACTGATGGATCTTGAATTCTGAATCACACTGTCAATAGACTGAAAAGTTAGGTCAAGGCTAGAAATGAACCCTTTCACTACTGGACAAATGTTTTTTTTTTTTAATACATGTTCTAAAATGCACATTTTTTGACCTGAATATTACTTAAAACCCCCAAAACATTATGAAGGAAATTTATCAGTACAGAATATGGAGCAGCTATGTTTGACAACCAATCAGCTTCTATCTTTATCTTGTTCAGATAAGTTTTGAAAATGTAAGATAGAAGCTGATTGCCATGTGCAGCTGCTCTAGATTGTGGTTGTTCCAGTTTTGAAAAATTCTTCCCTCTTTGTGTTTTCTGAAAGCAGAAAAACTGTCAAATAAAAGAATGGGAGTTGCAAATTTTTATGTCGCACAATATTTATACAACTGTTTGTCAAACCTTTATTTTCAGTAAAAATACAGTATAATTAATTTTTGTGCATGCTATCACAATGTAATCCACATTCAAGTAAATAAATATTTCAGGTGTCAAAATTGCATGTGCCTTCAATACTTACTTCTTCCATCAATCTGGAGTTAACTGTAAATAATAGCCTTAGGATTATTCCTCTCAGTCCAGTATGGGCAGCAATACCCAATATGTGTTGTGCAGTCGGTGGTTATGTATGCATGTATGTCCTAAGGCAGGCCATAGACGGGTCATTTATTGGCCGAATGTTCTGCCGATAAATGAAAAATCGGGCGTTGCGGCAGCAATGCTGCCACCAATGTCCACAAAAAATGGCTGTTTTTTGTGGATTTTCCAACATGACTGATAAAAATAAATGAGAAGATCCGCGAAAAAACGGCCGATGGGCTGGCTCCACTAACGGCGTGATTATCGGCCGATTTTTCGTGAGGACAAAAATTCGTCCGATAAACGACCTGTCTATGGCCTGCATAAGTATGCATATTTTTACATATGTGCATACGCAATCTAAATTGCTATCACAATGCGCATTTAAGTCCTGATAGCACTGTGCAGGTGACAGATCCTCCTTATGGAGACATCAAGGGGTCTAATATAACCCTAATCTTTTCTCTGCACTCTGGCTTAGTAAATCAAGTACAGCTTGTTTTAACCCTTTCAATCCCATAATATGTGGGACACATTGTTTGCAGCCAAAAGGTTGTTGAGCAGCAGTGTGGCAGGGTGGGTTTGGCCTTAAAGTGAACCTGTGTCAAGAAAAATACACACAGACTGCCATAGCTGGCCACTTTAAAAATTCTGTTTGTCTGGCTATGTCTGGCTTTAACACTAACCTAGTCACTGAACAAGGACATAAATTGTGTAGCTAGAACTTGTTTTTGATCATTGATTCAAAAGGCACTTAAGCTCCTGGATCAAAATGATGGCTAGGCACATATCCTTTTTGGACAAGTTTCCAAATATTTGTATTATTCTATTCTTTCCAGAAAAGGATGCATACCATTAAATTGCAAGTCTTGTTTTTTGTTCTGGTACTCCTGTTTTATGTATTCCCCAAAAAAAAACACTTGTTTTGCAGCTGTCATTTTCTAATGTAGGTTAGAAACATAAGGGTTGTGACATGCAGCACAAACTGTTACGTCGATCTCAAATGTCATATGCAGCTGTGTTATATAACCCCAGTACTCATGTTTTTAGGAGTGCCTTCATTCTCCACAGCAACAGCATAGGTACAGTTTAAATAAAACCAACACACTCTGCAGTAAAAAGTAAATCACACCTAATACACACACCTCCTAAAGCAGAACTTTATCCAAAAGGAGAAGTTCGGCTTTAAATCCTCCTCCCCCCGCCTCTACTATATTTGGCATATCATATTTTTATTTGGGGGGGGGGGGGGGAGTGGGTACTTAGTTTTGATAGGTATTCACTTCCACTAGCCTAGGATTTGTAGCTGCTGACTTTAATTTTTTTTCTCCAGAGTGAACAACTGCTTTAATGCCTGTGTTTCATGAAAAATATATTCTTCAGTGCCCAGCCTGACAGCTGGTACAATGTCCTGTACATTACATCTACCACTTTGCATCCCTAGCCTAAAATCTTACAAATGTGCTAAGGTGAGAGGGAGGATCAACTTTATTCAGAAACCATCATCAGCCTGGTGTGCAGGAATTAAATTGGGACATGGAGTAATGGTGCTAGTAAACAGTGCATTGGCAGAGAAGATCATTTCAGTTGAAAGGAGAGGCTGTGTGCACTTTTTTCTACAGTGGTCAGGAACAGCGGGTTGATGATGTTTTTTTTCCACAAAGCTTTTATTGTCTATTATCACTGGATCGGTAATTATGGCAGTTGTGTCATCTGATGTAAATAAATAAAATAAAAATGTAGCGCTACCAACATAAATAACATATAATTTAAACCAATGTATAAAACATAGGTGAAATAAACTAAAAAATGCTCACTTAGTGCCACAATGTAAGTAACACACAATCATGCAATGTGCCACATAATACCACAAATATAGTGATATACAGCTGGACCAAGAAGTGATGGTGAATAATAGTCAAGAAAAAATAGGTCTCGACCACTGCAAACTCAATATAAAGCATAAACATACAAAGACCTGTGTATATAAATAGAATAAATATCTAAAGTGCCAAAAAAATGACAAAGGACATGTTCCCCCTATAATATGTAAAAATATCTCAATCAGTGCAATAAAAAACCTAAAACAACACAATAATCAGTGTACAATATTTGTGCAAATGAAATGCAACAACACACAAATAAGATCAGACTGCACCGTCTGATCTGTGCTCAAAACAGTCCAATATGATGTGGATAATATCACTTTATCCAATTCCAGATGACACTCAGGCTGATAATATGTGACAGTGGGTAGCTGCTGACACAACAATCCGACCACCGGCTAGATTAGCCTCTCACCTCAAAACTTCGACCCGTAAGGGTCAAAGCGTTTTGTGGGATCACACCCTCAGATCCTTCAAGTATGCAGCCTCTCCACTGGTCTGCTCTCATCGCAAACAAATCTCCCTCACAGGGGGTTAGCACTCTGGTAGTGGCTCCTCTCCAGTAAGGGCAGGGTTAAGCGCCAATATCTCATTCAAAAACATAAAACACATCCTCCCATAGTGCAATATGTTTATTATATTAAATAGGACAAAAATATATAAAAAATGCGCACTCACATAGATCTTCAGCATATGTCAGCATACACAATATGAATATCCTCCTGCGCTCCACAGAATGCCTAAATATAGCTAGCTGCTATCATCTATACCCTATACCGTAGGACAAAGAAAAAATATTAAATACTGGATGAAGCGCTCTGCTATGAGAGTACTTATACACAAAAACAAATAATTTTATGCAAATATATATAACAGAAAAAATCAAAGTGACTAGTGCTTAAATACAATATTAAATGTGTAAACCAAATGAAAACAACCAGTCTGCCCCCAGGTGGCTAAAACTGGTTATGCATGTGCTCACACAACTTATATAAAAGTGACCAAGTGCTCACTTAAGTACATTGTGTATTAACAAATTAATAAAAAATCACAGTGAACAATCTCAAAAGTGCCAAGTGTTGACATTCAATCAATATACAAATTGTATCATCATGTGCAAAATCATGCTATTACTCTTCTGTGATAAATAAATATTTGTGTATATAAATAAGTGCTTCTTCGTCAACCACTTCAAAATTGTGCTCAGACCAAGGTGTCACTCTAGTGCATCAATCCTCAAATATCCAGAGTGCCTCCTCACCTCCAACATTCGACCCCTAGGGGCCACAGATCATATACTTTAATGATGTTCCCAGACCGATACCAGGATAGCGGTGCTCTTTGTGAATGGTAAGGCGGTACCTGGGACACAGGACAGATCCCAGAAGCCGCCAGACCAATCACAAAGCTTCTCGCTCATGCGCACTGGGCATCCGGCTGTCCGCCGAGCGCCCACACTACAAAAGCCGGGTAGACAGCGCGCGCGGCTGGATAGAGGAACAGGTAAGATCAAAGAACAACTCCGCGGAAGTAAGAGCGGGTACCTGTCAAATACAGGTACCCGCTCCCCCCTCCCTCCCCAAAGGTCAGCAGTCATCTCCTGTACTGTCCGCAGTCTCTGGTCATCCCTGTACTGTCCGCAGTTGCTGGTCATCTCCTCTACTATGTCCGCAGTCTCTGATCATCTCCTGTACTGTGTCCGCAGTCTCTGGTCATCTCCTGTACTGTGTCCGCAGTCTCTGGTCATCTCCTGTACTGTGTCCGCAGTCTCTGGTCATCTCCTGTACTGTGTCCGCAGTCTCTGGCCATCTCCTGTACTGTGTCCGCCGTCATCTCCTCTGTACTGTGTCCGCAGTCTCTGGTCATCTCCTGTACTGTGTCCGCAGTCTCTGGTCATCTCCTGTACTGTGTCCGCAGTCTCTGGTCATCTCCTGTACTGTGTGTCCGCAGTCTCTGGTCCTCTCCTGTACTGTGTCCGCAGTCTCTGGTCATCTCATGTACTATGTCTGCAGTCCATTAGTTCAGAATTTTTTTTTCCTGTTTTCTGCCTCTAAAACCTAGGTTATGGTCAGGTGCGTCTTATGGAGCGAAAAATACGGTAAGTTGTGTGAGCGCATACATAACCAGTTTTAGCCACCTGGGGGCAGACTGGTTGTTTTCATTTGGTTTACACATTTAATATTGTATTTAAGCACTAGTCACTTTGATTTTTTCTGTTTATATATATTTGCATAAAATTATTTGTTTTTGTGTATAGTACCCTCATAGCAGAGCGCTTCATCCAGTATTTAATATGTCAGCATAGAACCTAATGCTTTTGGGTGTACTTTGCATGCATGGGTATAGGAATAAGGTGTGCCAAGATGGCGTCCACGCCGGAAGTGCGTCACTACGTCATTTTATTTTTTTCTCCAGAGTGAACAACTGCTTTAATGCTTGTGTTTCATGAAAATATATTCTTCAGTGCCCAGCCTGACAGCTGGTACAATGTCCTGTACATTACATCTAACACTTTGCATCCCTAGCCTAAAATCTTACACATTTGCTAAGGTGAGAGGGAGGATCAACTTTGTTCAGAAACCATCATCAGCCTGGTGTGCAGGAATTAAATTGGGACATGGAGTAATGGTGCTAGTAAACAGCGCATTGGCAGAGAAGATCATTTCAGTTGAAAGGAGAGGCTGTGCACACTTTTTTTCTACAGTGGTCACGAACAGCGGGGTTGATTTTTTTTTTTTTTTTCCACAAAGCTTTTATTGTCTATTATCACTGGCTCAGTAATTATGGCAGTTGTGTCATCTGATGGAACCCTGAAAACATGACCTGTTGGGGGTGTTTGAAGACTGTAGCTGAAAAATGCAGAAATACAGTACTTTTATCACATTGACCTCATAACAGATTAGTTTTGTACCCATACCTTTATATTCTCCTGTGAATTCATGAGTTTTCTGAGCATTAACTTTTTCTTGTGTCCAGGTGACAAGTCTGAGGTATTAGATGTAGATAATCCAGACTTGTCCACATACCCACTTTTCTCTCAAGCAAGGCGTTATGAATGCACCTTAGAAGCTGGGGATGTGTTATTTATTCCAGGTAAGCAACTTGATCTTTCTTAGGTTCTTTACTGAACTTATATGCAGGAATTTCTTGAATATTTGTATGTGTGAGCTTGTTTGGGAACCAAGACCTAAGGTCAGTACATAAAGGGATAAGGAGGATTGATGTCTGGTCATATAATTGGAAACAGTACAAAACCTTTACAGTATGCTTGGAAGCAAGTAGGGAATCGCAGATTCAGGTATAACTAGCTATGTTATTTTGCTGGAGGGTTACGTGTATCGCCTTCATAGAGCTTAAAGATATAAATAGAAAGTATTGCAGTTACAGAAACAAGAGTGGAAAAAGGCAATAGAGGAGAAAAAGCAAAGCCACTTCACAATTGCCTCAAAGAAAAAGGCACAGTTTTTAAAGTAGATGTGTCATAAAATGTGCAAAGGCCACCATCCCTTTTCTGGAAATGTTAGTTGGCTGGTGTTGGGACTTCAAGAATCACTGGCCCAGAAAAGTATGGAGATCAGAAATGTCAGAGAGAAGTCATAAGTCCTTATCTGTATACTTGTCTTGGGTCAGTGCAGTGTAAATACTGAAACAAAAGGGTCAGCATAACAATCGGGCAACTATATCTATTAGTAGTTAGACATATTCAACCTTACTTATCCTGTAATGTTGAGGACGTTTTTTTGCTTATCCAAGTAGCCTCCCAGCTTCTAACGAATGGAACATACTCTAGCTTTTGTAGCCGCATGTGTAACCCGGTAACTTAATCTAAATATTCCGGACTGTGTTAAGGCAGTTGTTGAAGGACATGATAGGAGATGTGAAAGTCTGGGAAACCAATGTGACTTAAATTACCTCTGAAGACCAACGATCCTCTCTGTCCAAAACATACACCTCATTGTCCTTTGAATGAATATTTTTCTTAAAGCCTAACTCTAGGTTTCATTTAACTTTAAATAGTTATTTTGGACCACAATAGTCCAAACAAACTATTTCCTTTACTAATACATGCGGTCAGCTACATACAGTATACAGTGCTATTCCCAGAACAAAACTGAGTCAGGCTGATCACCGCTTAGCCATTCACAGGAAGCTTTGTATTTTATGAAGGAATACAGGACTTCCTCTGAATGGCTGAGGTGGAGAGGTGGGTGGATGACATCACAGTCTTCACCTCTGCTAATTGGAGGAAGACTTGCTTCATGTATTTATATATTTATTATATTGGGTTTAGTGACACTAATAAACTTTTTTTTCTTTTTTTATATATTTACCTTCATATACACTTTCATTGCTTTTATATGCATTAGCAAAAGTATGCCTACTTGTTAAATGGCTGAAGGGAATTGTTTGCAGTCTTACAGTATTACTCATCCTTTTTCTTGTTGGTTTAAGCTCTGTGGTTCCATAATACAGTTGCTGAAGAGTTTGGAGTTGGAGTTAATGTCTTTTGGAAACACCTGCCATCTGAATGCTATGATAAAACAGACACATATGGGAACAAAGACCCCACTGCAGCTTCAAGAGCTGTACAGATATTAGATCGGGCTCTGAAAACATTGGATGAACTTCCTGAGGAATATAGAGATTTCTATGCTAGAAAAATGGTATTACGGATACAATCCAAATCTTACAGTACCAACTTTGAATAAAACTTGGTTTGGTTTAAGTTATTTTAATAAAGCGCTTTACAATTTAATGCTGTGGAGGTCTTTTTATACTATATATGATGGTGGAAGAGAAGCCATTGGAAGGTATGTATAGCAGTCTAAACAAAAGGAGCCAAGGAGTTGAGAGGAGTAGAGATTAAAGTGGTGCACTGATTCAGATGTGGATTTAATGATAAAAGGAAGTATTTTATGACTTAAGGGGTCAGTAAAATCTGGTGAGTGAGCTGGGAAGAAAATAGGTGACTGGGGAAGGGAGCTCCAGCACACAGCCTGTGATTGACAGCCTTAGTTCTCTTCCTTTGTCCTGTGTGAAGGGGTGCATGTCCCTTTCCTCCAATCAGCTCTCAGAGCTCTGAAGTGTGTAATGTCAGCTATCTGCCCCAATTTCAGAGCTTAGACAAGCTTATATAAATTCTGGACTTTGAATGGATGTAGAGAAGACAGAGCAGATAAACAAGTGGAACTTATGTAGGAGGATTTGTTTAATCTCTGTTTATCGTCTGAGGCCAGTCCCTTCACTGGGTATATGGAAGGGTTTACAACCACTTTAAGGTAAAAAAATATCTGCAGGTCTTTTCTCCCTTCACTTCCTAGTCTCAGAGGCTTTGCAACGGCAGCAGCATTGGCTCCCGCTACTGACAATCAAAGCCAGTGATGGGGGAGCGAGGCCACACAAATGCCCCCATAGAAAGTGGCTTTCTATGGGGGCACTCACTGGATAGGAGGAGCCTGGGAGACCCAAAAAGAGGTGGTTTAGGACTGCTATGTACAACTCCATTGCACACAGCGGGTGAGTATAATTCTGAATTCACACTGACTTGTGATAAAATGGAAGGAAAATGGATGCACATTTCCATCCATTTTATGCATGTTTTTAGTGCGCATTAAAATGCACTGCATTTTGCAGCATTTCCTATGATGTCACATCCTATGGGTCACAAAATAAATCACAAAGCAAACTTTTTTTTTCTACACTTGCATTGCATTAAAAACTCATACATGTTGCATTTTAATACAATGCAGGTTAATGCAGCTTTGTAGTGTGAACAGGACACACAAAATACAGTTTTTTTTTGGGGTGTCCTTGCACTGACCTGTGTTTTACAGCTGCGCTAAAACGCAGATCAATGCACTAATGTGAATTAACCCTCAACATGTTTGCAATTTTTTTTTAATAATTAACAATCACTTTAGCATATTATATACTACACTTTGTGCTGGGAATACACGTCTTTGTGTGCTAAAGGGTATGGCCTGTCATTTATGGTATTGTGAGTGTTGCATGTATTTTTATTAATGATACATTTTTGTGTAAATTAATTGATTTTGATATTTTTGGATTGTATGTGTTTGCAGGGTTTTGTTTATATTATTTGTGGGTATATTTACCTGGTAAGGAATACAGTGGCGTCTGCTCTGAGCCTGTTGATTAGGCAATGCAGGAACAACAGTACACTGACAAATCATAGGGGTGGTCAATTCGCTAACAGAAATACTGCATGAATTTTTTGCCTTAGAATAACTTATGCGTTATTTATCTCGACAGAAGTCAGTTCACAAAAAGAAAGTGTTATTTAACAAAAGTGTTAAACATTTGTTTTGAGATATTTAGCACTTAAAGCAGAGCTCCACCAAAAAGCGGAAGGTCAGCTTTAAGGCTTTGTCCCCTGCTCCCCGTTAAGGATTGGCACCTTTGGGGAGCGGGGGGGAGCAGGTACACCAACTTGACAGGTACCCGCTCCCACTTCCGGTGCGATCACCTAAGGCAATCAGAAGCGGAATTTGTCCTCCCGTAGTCTTCTGGGACATGTGACAGGTCCCAGAAGACTACAGGACCATTCACAAAGCGCAGCACTACTCGTGCTTGCGCAGTGGACACCCGATTGTGAAGCCGCAAGCTGTCACAGCTAGGTGTCCACAATAAAGATGCCGGTGCCAGGGAGAGAAGTTGGCTGGTGAAACCAGCTGTGATGAGGACACCACTGGCCCGAGGAACAAGTACTATAAGTGTCTGTATTTTAAAAGTCAGCAGCTACAGTTTTGGTAGCTGCTGACTTTTTTTTTCCCCCAACTGGAACTCCGCTTTAAATTTAGTGTTATTTGACATTTTTTTCATAGTGTTGTCGTTTCTTTTTTTTTTTTTTTTTACATGCTAACACTGCACTAGCCACTTGTTTACAATCAGTATTGTTAGAAAATAGAACCCCCAAACATTATATATTTTTTAAAGCAGAGGCCCTAGAGAATAAATTGGTGGGTTTTTAATTTTCTATGTCACACTGTATTTGTGCAGCGGATTTTAAAAACAAAATTTTGGGGGGAAAATTATACTTTTTTGAATTTTAATGCAATACAAAACCATGCCATGCAATATATCAGGGCTTGAAAAAGCTGCTCGCCAAATGCGAGGGAAAATCTTTGTGTTGCGAGCACAGATGGAGCAGCTCCACCTGCGCTCCAAGCCTCATTGTGAAGCCGGTTTCCGACTTCTGGTTTCCGACTTTCGACTTCTTCGGCACCGCCATTACACTGGCAGCAATGCTGAGGGGACAGGTGCAGGAGAGGACTGCTCTCCGCTGAGAGGAGACATCCGCTCTCCACCGCCGCGGGGGACTCAAGGAGAGGTCTGCTCTCCTCCGCCATGGGGGACACGAGCAGAGGCCCGCTCTCCACTGCCTTGGGGGACATGATGCCCATTCTCCACCACCTTGGTGGACACTAGGCCCGCTCTCCACCGCCTTGGGGGACACGACGCCCCCTTTCCACCGCCTGGGGGACACGAGGCCCGCTCTCCACCGCCTTGGGGGACACGAGGCCCGCTCTCCATCACCTTGGGGGACATGATGCCCTGCTCTCCATCGCCTTGGGGGACACGAGGCCCGCTCTATTAGAAAAACACCGCTTTGGGGGACCCGAGGCCGGCTCTCCACCGCCTTGGGGGACACGAGGCCCGCTCTCCACCGCCTTGGGGGACAGGAGGTGCAGTCTACACCACCTTGGGGGACACGAGGCCCGCTCTCCACTGCCTTGGGGGACACGAGGCCCCGCTCTACACTAGCGTGGGGGACACGTGAAGGAGAGACCCGCCAACGGTGCACATCACCACACCTGCCAGATTAAGGTAAATGACATTAACTAAATTTACATCTTTTAAAAGAGACTTTAGTTACTAAAGTCTCTTTTTAAAGATGCAGGAGATAAACAAAAAAAATACAAAAAGGTTTACTACAGGTTTAAAGCTGTAAAACTTGATGTTTTGATTGCACCCTATTGCTATTAAGCTATTGCTGTTATGTTTAAATTGGCATAATAAAGCTATGTTATAATTGCAGTTTTTTATATTTTGGACTCTATATTCTAAAGAAAAATGTAATTTCATAAACTTTAAGGGGGCGTGGTTGGGGGATGGACCAGGGGTTGTGTTGGAGGCGGACCTGGCCAAGGTTGGGTGGGGCAACTGGAGAGTAAAGTTTGTGCCTGGCTAGTAGGTCTAGACTTGAAATTTTAAACCCTGCTACATAACCCAATTTTTAAATAAAATTTAAAGATGATGTTACACCAAGTAAATAGATATCAAACAAGTTGCGCATGCCTATGCAACGGCGATAAACGTAAATTTTTCTATCCATTGGTGACGCTTTAAAAGCCATTACAAGGTTTCCACCTTAGATTTACATAGGTCTAGTGCTAGAAATCTTGCCCATGATCTGATGATCGCCGGATGATACCGCACCTGTGTGGGGCTGTTTGCCATCCCTCTTCTGCACTTAAAAGAATTCAAAAACACCAAAAGTGGCATGTTCGAATGCTTTTGAGTTTTTAAAAATCACGCAATTGACATCCGGATAAACCGATGACAGTGATAAAGTGATGATAGGTCATTGCTTCCAGGTTACCATAGGGGAGAGTTCATCAAAGCTGACTCCAACTGCTCGGCATGCCAGCTGGTCGCTTTGGTCTCCCAGTGGGACGGAGCTCCCGAACAAGCAGCGGAAGACGTTCATTCCCCCTGCTTGTAATAGCAAACGAGAGGCTATTTAGTCGTTCTGATTGTTATTACAAGAGAGCCACCCGCCGGCTCTAAGAATCAGTCGGTTTTGACTGCAGCTGCTGGCATCATCCTGGCGTAACCACAGAATGTCCAGCGACACACAGGTAAGTCATTGGAGTTGAAGTGGTTAAAGGAAGATATTTCTGTAAATGAGCGCGCACAAAAATAGTGTGAAACTATGAAAAAATTCTAGTGTGCCTTCATTCACACAACAATCTGCCTCTGGTGAAATGTTACATTTTATTTTCATTCTTTAGCTCAGGGTATAACACAGGGTTAGGCAACCCTTTTGGCAAAGTGTGCTGAAAAATGTTTTCACAGAAATTGTGCCACTTCTATGAAACAAAGGTCTACTTCACATGCTCAATCATGAAAAGGAATTTTTATATACTAAATGCTGTAAACTACTTGAGTAATAGTGTGAAATGAACATCCTGCACTTTTACACCTCAGATCAGTCCCAATTCCTGCAACTTCACACTTCAGATCAGCCCTAATATCTTCACCTCCAGTCCTCAGATCAACCCCAATTCATGTACCTTCACATCTAAGATCACTGTACCCCCTGCTCATCCATCTCACCACTGTAACCCCCTACATATCTGTCCCACCCTGCTCTTCTGCCCCTCCACTGTACCTCCCTGTACATCTGCCCTACCACAGAACCCCCTGCTCTTCTGTCTCACTGCTGAACCCTCTTCTCATCTGTCCTAATACTGAACCCATCTGCCCCCCCACCCCCTACATAATCCCCTGATCATCTGCCCCACCACTGTAAGCCCTTTTCTCTTCTGCGTGCAGCAAAATTTGGGTGTGCACTGAATACTGGCTGTGGCTTAGAGACGCGGAGTGCAGGGGTTCAGTAGTGATGCAAAGGTTCAGGGGTAAATGAGGCAGAGTTCAGGGTTGGGAATAGGTGATGCAGAGCTTG